GTTTAGAATGAGTTAAAATGAGGGAGTCATTGGATAAGAATTTGGATGTCTGTTGTCTGTCTCTGAAGAGGAAAATAGAGGGTAGTTAGCCATAATAGGCACTTCACTGACTTAGGCAGTAGCCTTTTGTAATAAGAAACTTCCCTGGGAAACAAATGAAAGCTCTCACACTTCCACACAGATTCATGAAATGCTGATGGGATCTGTTCATATTTTTGTGGAAATGCTGTATAATTAGAGGAGTCACTGCTTAGTATTCCAGCAAGAGGTTGTTTTTCATCTCTTGAGTAACTTCTTTAAGTTTCTTATGAAGCAAGCAAAAAAATTTTCCTCTATAACACTGAACAGGCAAAGGGGGGTTTATTTAACTATTCAGTTATATAAATGTCCATGCCACACATTTTATATTTTCTATATTCTAAAACCATTCAAATTTGTCTTATAGGAAATAAAATTGCATATTCTTTGAGTAACAAATTAAAAATAGAAATATATTGTCATTTTAAAAAACTTAAAATCTATTTTAAAATATGACATTAGGATTATCATTTTGTTTATTTTCCTTTCTTCATTATTGTGGCAAACTAGAGTGTCCAATCATTGATGCCTTTTATATTCGAATTTATATTTTAGTTAATTTTTATAATGGCTTGCTTTGCTTGTAAAGATACCCATTTTCACTCATTTATTCATTTAACAATTGCTTATTGAGCACTTATGTGCTTAATCAGTAGTAGGCACTATGAATGTAATGGGAATTTCCAGTTAGGGAAAAATAGGGTAGGAGAGAAAAATATGTGATTGTGGAATGCATTGGTAGCAGGTGGAATAGTTAAGACCTGGGGTTGGAGAGATAAGCAGGGGCCAGATCATAAAGGTAACAAACTGAGAGTTTATGCTTCATCTCCAGGGCAGTGGAAAATTCTTAAAGCATTTAAGCAGGGGATTAACATGATTAGGTTTGGGTTCGAAAAAGATTACTTTTGGCTGGCATGCAGAAAATGAATTGCAAAGAAACTGAAAGTACTGAGACTAGTTAGGAAGCTGTTGTAATAATTTAAGCAAATATGATGGTCTCCAGAGTAGGGAGAGAAAGTTATAGACAGGTCTTCTCATCAGAGAATATGTGTAAAGTCAGGAGGGAACAGACTCTGAAATTCTTAGGAAAATAACATTTAAGAGATGGGTTGAGGAGAGAGAACCTGCAAAGAAGACTGGAAGGGGTGGAGAGAGGTGGGAGTCAAACCTGAAGATTGTTTTGGGGGAGTACAAAATGAAATGCTACACTGGATTGCTTATTATATATAACTGGGAAGAAAAATGCTTTGATGTTTGTGTTAGGTGAAAATAAAGCGTTGGTTCACTTTTAAAAACAAACCAAAGGCATAACATCCAACAAGCTATCACTATTCCTTGGTTGATTGTCAGTAGAGTAGGTTGCTAGTTATTTTGGAAAAGGGAATTGGAACAAATCTCCTTGATGTGAGACTCTATTAGAGATTTTTTTGGGGTTTGATATTTCTTCAAATGGGTAATGAGGCTAATCTATCAGCAGCACCATGCTATTTCAGGGATGCAGTGATGATAAATGCAGAGCATGGGATAGTGCCAGAGACTCTAATTAATCACTACCTTGCAGTTATCTTCAGACATTTATTAACAACACAGAGACTCAGTTTTAAGAGTCTGTCATAGTGCGTTTGAGTGGGAGGCTTCAAAATCCCAGCAGTTGTTTTCATTAGCTGCCAAATAAAGAGAAATATGACCATGTGCTCTAGGCAAGTCAGAAGAGCCAGCAGCACTTCTGTTTTCCCAAATGTTCACTTAACTGCAGGGAAAAACAACAGCAACAAAATTTAGAAAGGTCTACTTTTTCTTCAACCTATGTTTCAAAGAACATTTTAAGTATCACTTTTACATTTTTTGTTAATAGTATCTAATAGGTATGAACAAAATGTGATTTTTACAGTCGCTGTCTTTGTCCATTCAGGCTGCTATAACAGAACACTTTCGACTAGAAGGCCTAAACATTTATTTTTCACAGTTCTGGAGGCTGAAAGCCTGAGATCAGGATGCCAGCAGGGCTGGGTTCTTGGTGAAGGCCTTCTTTTTGGTTTCCAGATGATCTCTTGCAGCCGTGTCCTTCACATGGCAGAGAGAAAGAGCTCTAGTCTCTTTCTCTTCTTATAAGGGCACTAAGCCTATCATGGGGCCTCAGCCTCACTCTCATGACCTTATCTAAATCTAATTACCTTTCAAAGGCCTTACCTTCTAATACTATCCCATTGGGGCTTAGGATTTCAACATATTAATTTGGAGGGGATGCAAACACATAGTCTATAATGTGCACTATTCAGGAAATTCTTACAACAATCCTACCAAGTCAGTATTTACAGTTATCTCCTGTTAACCAGTAAGGGACCAGTGGCCCAAAGTGGTTCAGTTTGCACGTGTACAAGTTGTTGAACTAGCCCTCAAATGTAGACATTTGAACGCTCTAGTCCTTGGTCATTTGACTTTTCCAATGGTTTTAAAACATGTTTGTCTTTTGAGTCCAGAACTTCATCTACAAAAACCTAATCTGGAATAGCTGCTACCCTTTTTCCAGAGGCCTGATGTACCTTCTCAGAATTATACATATGTACAATTGCTCCATATGTACAATGGCTCCATAAAGCTAATTTTAAACTATGTACAGGCCACTGAGTTGTCTCACAAAAGATGAATTGGGCCTCCATTGTAGGAGAAGATGGAGAGAAGAAAAAAAATCTAATTTGATATTGATGAATTTTAAAAAAAAACAATTTATGTTTATTGAGAACAAATCAGTATTATCTGGACTTTTTTTGAAAAGTATGATATTTATGTCATCACTTTTAAAAAATTTTAATTTTGAAATGATTTGTGACTAGCACAAAAGTTGCAAAACTAGATCATAAAATTTCTGTATTCCTTTCACCCATTCCTTTCTATAATGTTATCATCTTCTATAACAATAATTTATGTACCTATACAGTATATTTATCAAAACAAGGAAATTAATATTGCTGCTTAACTATTAGGTAAACTATAGATTTTATTTAGTTATTCACAAGTTTTTTCCACTAACATTTTTTTTTCTGTTCCATAATCCAATCTAGCATCCCACGTTGCATTTAATTGTTTGTTCTCCTCAGTTTCCTCCAATCTGTGACAGTTCCTCAGTCTTTCCTCATCTTGACACTGCTAAAGAGCACTGGTTGGTCATTTTGTATAATAGAATGTCCCTTACTTTGGGTTTGTCTGATGTTTTCTCAGGATCAGATTGATGTTGTCTATTTTTGGCAAGAACACCACAGAAGTGATATTGTGTTCTTCTCAGTGAATCATATCAAGGAGTGCATAAAGTCTTATCACTGGTGATATTGACCTTGATCACTTAGTTAAGGTAGTACCTGTCAGTTTTTTCCTCTGTAAAGATGCTATTTTTCCCTTCATAAATATGTTGGGGGGAAAGACTTTGAGACTATGCAGATATCCCGTGTCTCCTGAAATCTTCATTCACTCGTTGTGGCATTCATCAGTAGATCTTGCTGAAAACGATTATTACTGAAGCATTGGCCTCATGGTGATTTTGTATTTCCCTCATTCCTTCTACCTTTATTGATGAGAATTCTGTATGAAAGAAGTGGCCCTTTCCCAGATTTATATATTCAATTATTTACATTTATCAGTATGAATTCATGATTATTTATTTTATTCTATGGATTATAATCTAATATCATTGTTATTTATTTTATTGGTCAAATTATTCCAGCTTTGGTCATTGGGAACTCCTTCAGGTTGGCTCTTCTAGCCTTTTGGCATGCCTCCTATCCCTTTTTGAGCATGTTCTTTCTTCTTGGAACCATAATATATTCCAGGCTCATCTTGCACTTTCCCGTCCTCAATCCTGAAATCAACCACTTTTCTAAAGAAGTTTAGTTCTTTTATTTGAGGAATGATGTGTCTCATTGCTTCTAGACCTTCTCAGTGGACAAAGCTTAGAAATATATGTATATATACTAACCCACACATACATGAATCTGTATTTCTTTCTTTCTGTATCTATCTATTAAACAAACAAACACAAGTTCATAATGATACCTTAGCCCAGGGTCTATAGCTAAATTGATCATATAAGCTGTTCTAATTGAAATCCTTAAAAAATAAAATTTTCAGAGTTTCCACCTCCCAGTACACTAGGCTGTGAGTGAAGAATTTGTGGTTTGTTTCCAAATTTGCCAGAAAGCAGTTGTATCACCATCTTTCCTTTCCTGCCACCTGAACTGTACAAGTAGAATAACAATGTCTGCCCTAACTAGTCACCAGGTGGTTGCATGGATTTAGTAAAAGTCTTGATTCTCTCTCCTCTCCTCTATTCATGTGTCTGTTTTCCTTCATGCACAGTCTTGCACTACGCCTCCAGTTTTTTCCCCTCAAAGCTCTCTGACATCCTGCAGCCAGAGAAATTTATCAGAAATGGAAATCAGGTTTCATTTTTCTTCTTCTTTAAACTTTTTAATGGCTTTTTATCTGTCAAAAAAGTAAGATCTGAGGACTTGATGTGGCAATCAAGGCCCTCCATAGTCTGATTATTTCCTCTGTGAGTCTCATTTCTCGTTATTTTCTGTCCTCCCATTTTACACTCTAATATTACAAGATTTCTTGAGATCATCTCCACTCCCTTGCCAACATCAGTCCTTCCAACTCTTTGCTCTTGCAATACTATTTGGCCGGGTTCAGATGGGAATACTCTTGACAGTTTCTTTTAGCTAACTCTTACCTAAATTTCAAGGATCAGTGTAGTGCCATGCATCCATCTACTTCATTACATGCTTGGTCAATTCAGTCAATACTTGACCAGCTTGATGACATATCTATTTTTTCTGTTATTGCTTCCTCAGTATTTTACCTGAAACCTAAAGCTGCTGTGGTTTGTTTTCTGATTCCATTCTATTCCTTATCTAAAATTGCTCTTGATAAGGTCCTAATTGCCAAATCCATAGATACCTTTCAGTCCTTATCCAATTTGACCTATAAAGAGTATTGGACACTAGAGGTAATTCAGTGTGGTTGCCATGCAGCAGGTCACAATGGCACTGCAAGAGTGGGGGCTTATTTGGGAGAAGAGCAGTGCTGGCAGACAAGGCTGGAAAGTAGACAAGGGCCATCTCATAGAAATTAGGAGGCCACGGTAAGGAAATTACATTTATCCTCAAAACAATGGCGAGCTATGTAACAGGTTTAAATAAGGCAGGCTGTGTTGTAGTAACATAATTTGGGAATATGAATGAATTTGGCAAGACTGGAGCACAAATAAAAATGAAATAGGGCAAGAATGGAAGGAAGAGAAATTAGGCTGTTCCATAATCCTGGAGTGAGATCATGGTTTATACAAACTAGGATAGCAAAAGCATAGAGAGAAGTGGATGTTTTCAATAGGTATACAGTCTGACAATAGAATCAATACAGTCTGATGATGAATTGGAAGTGAAGGATGGATGATAAGAAGAAATAATAGAGTTTTAGCTTCTTATTAAATAATAGAGGAATTTCCTGAGATTGGGGATGTAGGAAGAGGAGTAGATTTGGGAGAAGTAGAGGGTGAATTTGTTTTCAGAAATGTTTGAGATGCCTGTGGGACATCCAAGTGGAGCTGTCCCATTGACAATCTCAGACATTACTAAAGCCTGAAACCCAGATGTGGGCAGGAAATGCAAATTTAAAAATCAGTAACATGTTTATGGTAAATGAATCCATGCTTGTGGATAAGATATCTGAGGACTTTTGTAGTGTGAAAATGGGTAGAACATTTCCCCTTCCCTTCCCTTTTTCTTCTTTTCTTCCTTTCCCTTCTCCTTTTCATCTTAGTGAGCAGAACTACCACTTACTCATTTCACCTAGCTAGAACCCTTGAAGTCATGTCCAACTGTACTCTTTCCATCACCTATTCAACTTATGCTGATCCCATCTCCTGCTTAAGTTCTCTTTGTTCCAATTGTCTTTGCTTTAGCTCAAGCTCTTAGAATTACCTCATGGACTATTTACCATTCTTGCTGGTCTTTAGATTGTCAGTTTATCCTCTTGAAAGCCATTCATTTTAGGAATTTTGTACCCCAAGAATCTATACATTATTTACACTTATTAATAAAATATTAATTAGTTAATTAAGATATTTCTGAAATATAAACTAATAACTTTTAACTGAAGTTGGAATTTCAAACCTTTGTTATATGATAGTTTATAGGTGAGACTAAACTAAAAATATTAATATTTACTTTCTTTCTGGGTATTTGACATCCTCTCTCATGGGTAGAAAGAAAACTACCCCTCAGAGTAATCTTGGGGAAATACATGATTATAATCTAGGGGTATCATATGGAAGGTGATCTGGATAAGGGGATAAGAGCTGCTGTCCTGAGGTAAGTGCGAGAAAGGAAGAAAATCAGAAAGAACTTACCAAAGTAATTGTATCACTCCAAATTTCTAACATGATCTTAGAGGTGGTAAGCCATGAAACTGCAATGGCTAGCAGTCCAATTGTGTTCTCAAGCTAGTAGCCAACTGCAAGACGGTGAGGAGCTTCTGTACATACCACCTTACCACCTGTTAGGACCTGTGATGGCAGACACCGTAGTGTGTTGATGAATGCTAACATGGCTGATGGCTTTATAAAATAGAATAAGAAAGAAATGTAGATATTTTTAGATAGTTAACATTATGCATACAGAAAGCCAAAGAAGAGAAGATAAACTCCAAAATGGTAGACCTGACTCATTCTGTGAATTTTTTGACAGGCAGGACCAGACAAAAGGTAAGGGCAAGAGAAATAGCGAAATTGATTTTTACTTAAAAACAACTTTTTGTGAATAAAATTTCTTAGCCAACTGAATAGAACTTTATTTTTTCCTGCTACTTTAACACTCCTTTTCTTTGTGTGCAATGCCCAGAGGTAATCACTTTTTTTCATACTGAGAGTTTTGTTTTCACACCATTGGACAGAGAACACTCTGTAAAAGCAGCAGAAGACAGATCTTTAGTTCAGTCTCTAAATGACAACCTTGTTTATAAATATGGTGGGTTTTCAAAATCATCACAGCAGAGTAGTGAATTTGGAGTTAAGAAATATAATGATATCCATAAAAGTTGTATTTGTTCATTTACTGATTAGCATATACCTATTGAAAAATAAATATGCATCTGATACTGTTACTGAGGAAGGGATACAGTGGTGAATAAAGCAAGGTCTCTGTCCTCAATACACCTACATTTTAGAGAGGGAGATTGACAGTAAACAAGCAAACAAATTTATATTATAATGTCAGATAGTGATAGGTGCTGCAAAGAAAAATGAAGCTAGGTTTGGAAATAAAGCATAAAAGAGAAATTACTTTGGAAAGGATTAGATAAAATTTCCAATAGAACATCTGAGACCATTTAAAAGGCTCCTAAGTATTTTATTTATAAACACGCAAGGGCTTTCATTTGGTCTGTGACACTGTCTATTGCAATCTTTATAAAAATGAGATGCTTTCTACTATTCATTCCAAGATTGTTGGTCTTTGATTTTTCCAAGACCTCATAGTGACGCATCTTGACCCAAAAATAACACAAAAAGATATAATTTTTTTTATCTTGGAAAAGTCCTAATAAAAAGTCTGTGATACCTGTATAACTTACTGTATGGAGTTATGTCATTGACTTTTATTCCTAGCAGTAGAAATTTAGCCTTAGGATTAAAATGCTAAATGCATCCTCAGGGGGCTAAGGGCCTGAGACTAGAGACATAATCATCTTCACATGGGCTACTTCAGGATAAGGGGAGGCTGAGCAGAGTCCTAAACTCACTACGCATGTGCAGGTTGGTTACATTTTGCAGCACTTTACATTTGTAATCACTTAATAGCTATACTGGAAAAATCTTTTAGGAATCAGTAAAAGCTGCCCATTTTCTCTTTAAAGAACGGGATTAAATCCTTGCATAGAGTCTAGAAGCAGACTGTCCAATAGAAGGACAAAGTGAGCCTTATATGCAATCTAAAATTTTCCAGTAGCCACATTTAAAAAGTAATAAGAAACAGGTGCAATTAACTTTAATAATATATTTCATTTAATCTAACATATCCAAAATATCATTTCAGCATGAAATCAATATAAACAATATTGGTTTTCTTTTTATACTAACTCTTTGATATCCAGTGTCTATTTTATGCTAAGAGCATCTCTCAATTGAAATCAGCCGCATTTCAAGTGCTTAATAGTCATGTGTGGCTAATGGCAACAATATTGAACAGCACAGATCTAGAAGTTCTTTATGCATTGAATCAGCTTTCACTTTATTTTATTTACTGTTTTCTGAACCTATTTTAAGCTTCAGAGATCCTTTATATTTTTCCCATGCATGTGCTCAGAACAGATATATTTTGATTATGGTCGACATGGAGACTTATAGTACCTGTGTCATTCTCTCCTCCTCACCCTTTCAGCTCTTGTCTGACAGAAGCCAAAAGCAAATCAGGCTTGTAAATAATGGGGCATTAACAATATTATTGATCAAAAAAATGTGTTTTGCAGATCTAAGACATTCAGGGATCTCAAACACATGGCACTCAAATTTGGAATAGCACTCTAATAACAAAAGTCAATCTGATACAATTGCTGCAAGAGTAAACAACACAAAGGATTCCCACAAGCATAAATTAGAAAATGTAGTTTTTTGAATATTATGCTGTTTGCTAAAACTAAAAGAGAGATGGAGAATGAAGAATCAGGAAGTATATTACTCTACATCCCAGTATGGGTGTTCAAAAACCTTGTCTGGATAATTTTCATTTGAAAAGACTCAGCTTTAACAATATCCTGCTTCTGGGTCCATTTATTGTAAATATAGTAATCTTGAGAGAGAAAAAAAGAATCTGATTGGCTCAGCTCAACATCAGGAGTTCACTGCTGGACCTTTTAGCTAAAGCAAGGATGCAGGGTGATACAGTAATAAAAGAGTTATTGGAGGCCCAGCCTAGTAAACCAGGGACTGTTCTCAGGGAAGGAAGAATCACTGGAGCTTAGCAATGTTCTTCTCAGAAGAACAAAAGCCATAGGAAATGTTAAAATAGAAATAATGTTGCTGAATTCATGCTTTAAATTTTATTTACTATGCTGCCAGACTTTGTCTCTTTATCAGTATTGCCAAGAGCATTAAAAATGGTAGAATTTCTTTGTATTAAAGCCTCATACCGATGACTTAATATACTTAGTTCTTCAGAGGGTGTGGAGCTAATTACATTTCAGAATAATACAAGTGGCAACTCCATTTAAAAAGAGATTCAAGCAGCCAAAGAACTGGAATAACCGTGAAGAATAAATTTAAAAAATCTCAGGATATATCAAGTGAAAAATATGCAACAATATAGGTTAAGAATTATTAATTTTAAGAAGACACTCTTAAGACATTTTGGAGTGGATTGTTACCTCCCTTTTCTCAAGGTAAATGTTTTTACTAGCAATTATGCAACTTGACATTACAGTTATAATACTTTGTGTATTTGTTTATTGTTTTCCTGCCTCACTAGCATTTAAACTCTATGACAATAGAGTCTGCTTTTGGTACCTATTGCCTGTGCCTAGAACAGGGTGTGGCACATAGTGGGCACTAAACAAATGATTGTTAAATGAATTAGTGGGTGAATAAAAACATTAAATTATCTGCTTTTTGTATTGTTAAGATTAAGTAAAAATGATGTATGGTGATTTACATCTGAAAATTACTTTGGGAATTATTTCAGTTTTCTTATGGGCAACTGAAATAACTGAAGTCCTTGTAAATGTACCCTTGACTTAAGAGACTACAGAAAAAGATGAAGAGTCAAACACAGAAAGCCGCCTACACCTGGATTTCTTTTAAGAATATGAATGTACTATGCTAATGTCAAGTAAGTTATAACTCATCTATTCATTGGCAAGATAATTTTATAACCACTACTTCTCTAGTTTCAACTCCCTACCCAGCACAATCCTGCTGCCAAACACCCTAAAGCACTTAATATGAACATGAATATAAATAACAAATATATATATAAATGTTTATTAAAAAACTAAAATTTGGAGCCTCCAAAACGCACCCTACAGAGGTTTCTAACATATGTTAAAATATGAAATATACATATCAGTATTTTATATGCCTACATTTTGTTTAAG